CCCCAAAACCCCAAAACCCCAAAACCCCTTTGTCTCAACATCAACAAAATAAATCAGTCATATTAATCATATATGTATATTGTGATTTCACTCAAACTCAAATTTATAAGGTCTTATTTGCACTTTAGGTTTTTCTACTGGGGCATTAGTACTTTGATCTAAGCTACTATTGTAGTTATTATTGTTCGAATGGGGACGAGTAACATGATTAGAGCCTTTATTATTTTCTCCTGCAGCTGTTTCAAGTCTTGTCATTTAATCTGTTTGTCCGAATAGATTATCATTATATACAGCTAGATTTTAATTTGGTATTTATTTATTTTCTGCATCAAACATTGGTGAAACTTTTGCATATGGTTGTATGTTTAATTTTGGAGGTTTTAGAAAGTCTTCTTCTTGATTTCCATCATGTTTTTATTTTGGAGGTTCATTAGCAAGTTACATGTATTGAATGACTTTTTTCTTCAAAAAATATACAATGTTAGGAGATTGCATTTCCCTCATTCTTCTCCTTGCTATCCATTTAGTCATAAAAACTATTGAAACTAGTATTAATAGGAAATAGCCGAAGGATCCTCCGATAATAATACCGATCCATCCTGCATTTGAAATTATTTATGTATTTTAGTACCTGAAAGATGCATATCCATAATCTGCATTTGATTTTACAATTATTATTCCAATTTTAGATACTTCAAATGTAACAGAATCTCCAGATAAAAGCTTTGTTTATGAATTAATGCTACTAATACTTGATCCTGTTAGTAAGTATACTTCAGCATTTATCGAATCATCTACAGTCACTTTTAATTTTGTATTAAAAGGCAAATTCGTATCAGAGATTATTTAATATGGGCATACATCTCCATTTTGCAGTTCTAAACCCGTCATTATTACTTGCTGTACTGATTTTGCATATAAATTTCTAGCTGCTGTTCCACAAATAGTTGAATTGAATGAGCAGAATGCATACTTATGGTATGCAAAGCTTGATTGTATTTTGTTAGAGCAATAAAATTACTCTTAAAGGCAAGCATCTCCTGATCCAGACAAACAGCATTTACCCTGTGGACTGTCTATTCCTAACTAACAATATTTATAGTAGTTTAGATTGGAGAAGCATAAATGACACTAGCTATTTATATCTGCTTTGCCTCTGATGGCAAAAAACTAAAATATATGAAGGAGAAAAAAAATGTTAATCAATTTCATTATAAATTATAAATTTAAATAGATTGATCAATTAATTAATTAATTATGAGTTTTTAAAGCTCAAGAGTGGCCTCTGATAGCTAAATCATACAACAAAGAAAACCCCTAGACCATGATAAGGTATTAAATTGTTATGTTTTAAATTTTTCAGATATACAGAGCAAAGGAAATCATATAAGAGATGCATCCACTTTCGTAATTAAGCTACATAGATACGATGCCATTCATGAAAGAAGTGCTCGGTTTTTTTTGCTTACGAAGATATTTAAATGGTAGTGTTGCAGCAAGACCACAAAGATAATCACTTTTAGAGGAAGATGAAGACGAAGATCAAGACAGTGTAGATAGAGGAGATTCGAATAAATAAGAGGGCCTTGGACTGAGGGCAAAGAAGTCTTATGTTGAAAAGTTGAAATCAAAGCTGAGATTATCAGGATATTCAAGGAAAAATGCTAAAAGTTTTGAGGATCCATTTATTAAATACGGTTATGGAGTGGTAGCATTCTTCAAACTTTTGAGATTATTGATCTTGCTATTTTCTTGTTTGACTATGTTAGCTATGCCTAGTATTCTGATATACTAAAATCACGATAATATGTCATCTTATTACGGAATAGCTAGAACAACAATGGGAAATTTAGGCTCCTCATATTCCAAATGTTTTTAAGCCCCTGTAGAATTAAATAGTCTACACTTAACTTGTGGTGATTATAGAATTGGAGAGGTATCATCATTAGGAATAATCCCATTTCATTCTGATAATAATGAAAGGACTTGCGTAAATAGAGATAATGAACCTTGCAAAAATATATTTTCATCAGGCTTTTTTGCAAGTATGATAATTTCATATAATTAATACCTTTTAGATGTTCAAAAAGAATGCGAAGGAAAATCTTAATGCTACATAGATAATTTCAAAGTATTGTTGAATAAGACATAAGAAAATTATTAAAAGTGTGTATAAGATAAATCATTGATATTTACTTAAGTCAAATGCTTAGAATAAGAAGAAGTACTTGCATATAAAAGGAAGATTGGTTTGCTCGGAGTATGCCTAGGGATATTTATGTGCATGATTTATGTTTTTGTGATTTACTTCCAATATCAATCTAATGAACTTGATTCAATTCTATGGGATATCTAAACAGTAACTATTAATGACTACTCTGTAGAGCTTAAACTGAACCAAAAAATTTTGAAAGCTTATGAAGATTAATGCAGCTAAAATGAAATACCAGATGGAAATAAGGGGGCTAACTTAAGCAGTTTTTTAAAAGATTACATCGAAGTTCAAACTCAATAGTATGCTATTGAATTAGATAGAGATGACCTTATTGAACTTGATAAACTAAGAGTTGCAATGATTGAATTCGACTTTAGAAGGGGAAATTTGCTTAAACTCCTCATTTAGAGAGGATAATACATCAAACAATTGAATTTCACAAAGAGAAGAGATATAGAAGCTAAAATTAATAGGTAAATTTTATGAATTCTTACTTTTATTGTTTAATAGATTCATCCTATTGAACTAGAATAATCTGGAAAAACCTTTGTGTGCTTTTGTTACATTCGAGCATACAGAAGGCCATAATTTTTTCATTCAAATGATCAAAGATAACACTCCCAGAGATTATGTTGAATATCGTGGTATTGAAGCTGAAACAGCACCATTGCCAACAAATATAGTTTGGTAGTAGAGAAACAAAAGTGTAACTGAAATCAGGCTAAAAAGATTCTTATCTGTAATACTCATATTTAGTGTCCTCTGCACTACGATGTTCTTTGTTTTTCTTATCAGATAATATGGATCTTAGGGGGTTTCTCCTTTCTCAAATTAGAATTGTAAATGGGTTTGGAGACAATATGGAGATAAATTGTAAAGTTATGCCTAATTTGCTTTTAATGAATCTGAAAAATATTTTGAGAGCTATCTTGAGTAGCAAGTTGATTAGGAAGATTTGAATTTAGTTGGTTGTTATTGTATTAAGCATGATTAAAATAGTATCTTGTACAATGGATTTAGAAGGAGATATCAGCTAGAAAATAAGGACATTAATCAAAATATAACATTAACTGCCGACGATAAGAGGATGTGTACAAAATTTGAGATGAACTATTTATCAGCCTAAATTGTAAACTAACTCGCAAGTTAAACTATTATCTTGCTGAACTTTGTTCTCAGATACATAATTATTTTCATAGTAAAATATGTTGGATACTCTACTGAAAGCCTACAGACATCAAGAATTATGATCTTTATTTTCATAGTTTAATTCATCAACACAGATCTCATTATTCTGCTAATGAATTCAGATATCACTTAAGCTAAGTCAATTTTCCTGATTGATTTTAACGGGCAGCATCCAGACTTCACAATAATGTGGTATAGAGATATAGGACTTACGTTGATAAATGCAATGCTTTTTAATGTCTATTGGCCAGTTTTGGAATTTATTGTTTTCTATGGAATAAGACTATTTTTTAGATAATTAGACAGAGGCTGGTCAACATAGTCATGGAGAACAAAATGCTTTACTATATCTTAGTATATTGATATTCATGGAGGTCCTGAATATACAATCCATTACAAATATTCTGCTATTTTAAACATTACTTATATTACTTTTATGTTCGGAGCAGGAATGCCTGTTCTCTTTCCGATAGCGTTAGCTTCATTCTTGACACTTTATTTTATGGAAAGATTAATGGTTGCATATTCTTATAGATAACCTCCCATGTTTGATGCTACTTTAAACAGATAAGTCTTGAGAATTCTTCTCTATGCTCCATTACTCTACTGTACTGTTGGATATTGGATGTTTAATAACATTTAAATTTTTTCTACAGAAGTCTAGCTCATGAAAACTCTTAATGACATATTCTAAGCAAATCATACTATAAGAAATTCCCTAAAATTTAACTTTGCTACTCCATTGCTAATAATTCTAGGATTATTCTTATTTGTAATGATAACCCAAAGATGGACAATGAAGATAGTCGAAAGAATGCTAGATCTTGACCCTGCTATACTATTGTATAAACCTGAGGAACAGGTTTCTTTCATTGAGGGATTGAATAAAGAGCAAAGACATTGGCTTATTAAAGAAGAGGAAAAATCAAGAGAAAAATTTGGAATTAAGAAGTTATCAGATGAATTTATTGATAAATTGCATAACTCTAAGTATAGTAAGGAAACCGAACTACTAGGAGTTATGTCATATCAAGTTTTAGATAACCCTGCTTATTAAAACCTGCTCTAATATGTTCCTGAAATATTGGATGATCGCGATAAGTATATAATTGATGATCAAGTTATTAATGCCTTGGGTTAATCAGACTATCTTAAAAAGATATTGAACTCTTATTATCAATCTAGCCCAGTTAATCCGTCTCTTGGAAATTTAGTAGCTCCATGATTTCTAAATTGAAATAATTTAATTATTATGAGTATTGCTTTAAAAATGGCCTAGCGGGGTTTTGGGGTTTTGGGG